TCCTCTAGGGCGGGAAGTCGCAAATCTCTCCTTCCTTTACATGAAGGAGATATGTCTGAAAATTCAAAGAATCGCTTGGATGTGTATTTTTTTGTAACATACTGATGTCATTTTGCACATCTCTGATGTTGCTGCTATTTTCACATGTCCATCCATAACTGTAAAATGTCCATAGCTGTATATTCATTTTTATTCTCCAGATGCACAGTATTTATATTGTAAAAATACTTTCCAGTACAGTATTTCTTTTTTAACTCTTCACTATTCTGTTATTCTTATACACTTTTCTAAGGTCCACATTTGTGTGACCACTCTTGCTATAATCTTTTGCCGCTGTAAAACCACACAAAGGGATGTTCTATTCTATTGTATGTAAATTTGGACTCCATATTTTATAATTCCGCTAAAACTTAAAGGAACCTTTTAAAATTGGTTCTTTTGTGACAGAGGTTTAAAAGAGACCTGTTTTGACCTACTTTCCAATATGCTGTAGTCCTAATATTTACTATTATTTAGGCCATGGGGATTTATTTAATTGAAGGTGCTGTTTCAGGATTTAAAACATGTAATGGATGTTATAATGCTATCTAAATAAGGTGGAGGCACATGCTTTAAGTTAGCAGTTTTACACATGAGTTAAACTCAGAAAACGGAAATATGTCTCCCACCTTATATTGGTTCTAAATTATTACCATCGAAGTATGCTGATGAAGATTCTCAGTCATCCAGGTCATAGTCATCCTGTAAAAGTTTTAAAAAACAACCCACATCTAAGTATTTGCTAAATTCTTTAACCAAAGAAAACCAAAAGGCAAAGCCACACAGGCAGCGACAGAGTTGTTTCAGGGATACTGAACAAATGATTAAGTAGCAGCATTTTGGCCACTTTGCCATCCTTAAACACAGCTACCATTTGCTATATGTGAACAGCAGGTGGGGTTGTAAGCTTTGGCAATGGAGGTATTAAGAGCACATTGGATAAAAATTCCATAGCTTTCATACAAGGAAACGAAGGAAAGTTAGGTTGAGAACTTTCACCGGAAAACTCTGTTTTTAAACCAAAAATGCTCTGCAAAAAATCTATAGGGGAATAAAATGCCACCACACACTTTGGTGGAATAAATTCTGGCAATGGTTAAATATAGACAAATTAAATCTTTACATACAGTTGGCCTATTTCGCCATTAACCATAGAAGACACACATTTGAGTGATAATTTTACATGCTCTTTTAGTAATATATTTTTTAAATTGATAAACTTCATAACAGAGAAAACTAAACAGAAACCATAACATTAAAAATGAAAATAAAAGGTGATACTTCTAGTTCACTATGAGATTTAAAGGAAACAAATAGCTAATTAAAAGACAAAATGAGCCAATAAGGCTCAAAGAGAAGATTTTTATTAAGAGCTTAATGATAAACATTAACTAGTAATTTATTTGTTTGTCCTGTGGACAACTTAAAAAAAATGAAAGGTAAAAAAATTATATTGTATACTCCCCTTCTTTAATTACTGCTGCTAGTGGCACAAAGTACTGCAGGATATCTTGCTGTACAAAGGTCTTCCCCTTCGATAATCCCAGGGAATGTTTAAAAACACTACTGCAGGAATGCCCTTGAAATTTAAATCTCATTTGGAAACTTTTGACGGGCCTGGACATGTACTGACTTAAGCAGTGGAACGAGACTGACATTACAGGATTTGAGTCCCTCTGGGTGTAGTGGGTTACAGATGGAGCTCTTTGTAACGTTTGGCTCAGCTCTCTGCAGGTCATTCATCAGGTCCCTTCATGTAGACTTTTACTCATCGTTCTCATAATCATTTCTACTCCAGAGGATGAGATCTTGCCTGGGGGCCCAGATCGAGCAAGATTATACCTGGTGCAGGTCTACAATATTCTTCCTGGTGTCCCTTTGCAGTTCTTTGGTCTTAGCATTAATACAGTTAATGAGTGGAGGACAGAAGAGCTTCTTAAAGGATTACTGATCTGTGAGGGTCAGGCATCTCGCTTGTTCATCGGTAAATAAAATCCTATATTCCACCATTATCCATTAATGAATTTATAAAAATCATGGGTGATTTCCTGGATTTTTTATTTTTTTCAATTTCTCTTTCATAGTTAAAGCGTACGTACATTTGATGAAATAACAGACCTGTCTCATCTTTCTAAGTAGGAGAACTTGCACAATCAGTGGCTGACACACATACAGGCATTTGGATGCCTCACACAATGCAGAGCCTCATTTTGACCCGTTTTAAGGACATCGTATCAAAGTTGGATCAGCCTGTAGTATGTTTTCCACTCCATCGATTCCCCCATTGGTTAATACATTTGATTTTTGTTGATGATTTTGTTTTCATCACGTTCAACTTTGTGCAGAACATACTTCATTCAGATCTAGGATGTGTTATGTTAATGTGCTTTTTATTTTTTTGAGCAGTGTATATTTTTTTCTGCTTTTTATTGTCATTACATTGTCAAAAGTACAGAGCAACAAAATTCACTTTCTGCATTTAACCCATCCCCTTGGGGAGCAGTGGGCTGCCATTGTGTGGCACCCGGGGAGCAGTGTGGGGTTTAAGGGTCTCTAGATTCCAAGCGCAATGCCCTAACCACTTGGCCACACTCCGCCATTCCCCCCCAATTTGGTATGCACATCAGCAGGCTGGACTGTTTCCTGGCACAATATATTTTAATTTGTTCTGCTTATCCGCCTCCTCTTCTTTCATAACGTTCCCCTCAATCTCCACTACTATGACTAGTATAATGCTGTCCTGCTTCAACACCTCCAAGAATTGATTGACACTACCTTTAAGCTACAAATAACACTAACATCAACAATAATAAACATTATGAATTTATTTGTATTTTTCCTAAATTGGTAGCAGTAGTTATATATTGTAGTAATTCTTGTGAAATGGTTAT